ACAGCACATCAGAAAGAAACTTCCATCATCTCTGAAACAGCTAAATTACCTGACAAATCTGAAATACAATGGATACCGTGTGTCTAACACTACTTGGTAATATATTTCCTGCAATGAACCCAATTTGTTTATTTCTGAAAGTCACAATGCATTCATAAATCTTTCATATATCCTAAGAAATCTTTTGAAATAGTGAAATCTCAGGTGTTATATGTAACTGTCCACACTAAATGCTTTTGTGGATCATTAACCATTCTGGTCTGACACAAAGCCAGATAATTACGACAAGTTTGTTAATGTTCCAAATGGAGTTCTATGTGATTCTCCATTAATCATTACACACAACTTCAAAATCTAGCACTATTAAAGATTTGTTAATAGAGGCTTAAAAATGTAATTACTGCCATGGTATGTGGCATTATTAAAAATGCAGGTCAACTGTTTAAAAACTATAAAGATTTATGTTCATTTAATGCCTTTATATTATTGTCTATATAAACCACAATCCTACATGAAAGTTACCTTGACAGACAGATAAAACCCGAGTGTGCAATTACACAATGATATTCATTAGCAAAGAAAAGCACTGCTTTTATTAAGTAGAAACCTGAGAAGTAGCTGAGAATCATCTTTAAACAACAAACCTTAGACTAAGGGTTTCATTTTCAAAATTTGTTTTTATTCTTTTCTTACACTGAGACCTAGATTGATGAATTTGCATAAAAATTTATTGGACTAAGTTTATCATATCAGTTGTTGTTTCCATTTTATTCCCATGCCAGCAAGTTAAAGAAGTATGGGTTGGATGAATGGACTATAAGGTGGATAGAAAGCTGGCTAGATCGTCCGGCTCAAAGGGTAGTGATCAATGGCTCCATGTCTAGTTGGCAGCTGGTATCAAGCAGAGTGCCCTAGGGGTCAGTCCTGGGGCTGGTTTTGTTTAATATGTTCATTAATGATCTGGAGGATGGTGTGGATTGCATCCTCAGCAAGTTTGCAGACACTAAACTGGGAGGAGAGGTAGATATGCTGGAGGGTAGAGATAGGATATAGAGGGACCTAGACAAATTGGAGGATTGGGCCAAAAGAAATCTGATGAGGTTCAACAAAGACAAGTGCAGAGTCCTGCACTTAGGACGGAAGAATCCCATGCACCGCTACGGACTAGGGACCGAATGGAGTTCTGCAGAAAAGGACCTAGGCGTTACAGTGGATGAGAAGCTGGATATGAATCAACAGTGTGCCCTTGTTGCCAAGAAGGCTGATGGCATTTTGGGCTGTATAAGTAGGGGCATTGCCAACAGATTGAGGGACGTGATCGTTCCCCTCTGTTCGACATTGGTGAGGCCTCATCTGGAGTACTGTGTCCAGTTTTGGGCCCCACACGACAAGAAGGATGTGAAAACATTGGAAAGCGTCCAGCGGAGGGCAACAAAAATGATTTGGGGACTGGAACACAGACTTATGAGGAGAGGCTGAGGGAACTGGGATTGTTTAGACTGTGGAAGAGAAGAATGAGGGGGGATTTGACAGCTGCTTTCAACTACCTGAAAGGGGGTTCCAAAGAGGATGGATCTAGACTGTTCTCAGTGGTAGCAGATGACAGAACAAGGAGTAATGGTCTCAAGTTGCAGTGGGGGAAGTTTAGGTTGGATATTAGGAAAATCTTTTTCACTAGGAGGGTGGTGAAGCATGCGTTACCTAGGGAGGTGGTGGAATCTCCTTCCTTTGAGGTTTTTTAAGATCAGGCTTGACAAAGCCCTGGCTGGGATGATGTAGTTGGGGATTGGTCCTGCTCTGAGCAGGGGGTTGGACCAGATGACCTCCTGAGGTCCCTTCCAACCCTGATATTCTACGATCACATCAGTTGTTGTTTCCATTTTATTCCCATCTGTCTCCTCTGCATTCTCTATCAGAACTCTCTATTCCCTCCATTAAAGCCCCCATCATCCACATTGATACCCACATTGCTAGGACCACATTATTCCCTTTGAAGCCTATCAACACCAACCAATGATCCAAAGGAAATGCTTTTTAGCAACACAAGGCAATCCCCTCTCCTTCAGACTGAACATTAAGCTTTCAAAGTGTTTCCAAGTCCTTCTGGTCCAAAGCCTTTTCTTTTATAAAAGCCTTGATTCACAAGCATTCATCATGTCTCCTGTACAGATATTTTGGGAAGTTGGCTCCTGCCTTAGAACTCAAGCCAACGTCACTTGCAGATGTAACAGACTGAAGGTAAATAAAACTATACATTCTGAAATCAGTACTGTGTGGTATATCCTGTATCCTATTTTAATCTCTGCTGGTGATTTATTATTTGATCACTCCCAACTCAATCTCTTTGTGACTCAACATACCCATCTGTAAAATGGGAATAATACTTCCCAACCTCCTTGGTGGCCTCACTGTAAAATCTTTAAGATCATTAGATGAAAGAAGACAAATTAGCATTAAAACATCATCACCACCACCACTTGGGAAAAGATACCATACTCATTCAAACCAGACTGACTGTTGATTTAGCTTCAGGACGTAAGTCCTGTATTACTTCTAATGTATCAAAGTTCTAGGAAAACCAATGCCATAAAAAATAAATAAAGCATGTGTATTAAATTTAATGGTAATGTAAAGATCTACAAAAAAGCGGGTAACTATGTATATTTGCAATGGGAAAAACAAAGGACAAACATCTGCTGCACAAACTCACCAAGTAACACACTAATAAATAATTAGAAGGTCTGGCTGGATTCTTTATTTTTATAACACAAATGGATTTTTTTTTTTTTTTTGGTGCAGCATCTGACCTCAGAAGGTTTTGTCCTTTATCTAGCAGCAAGACTTTGAGATGTCAGGCAGGCAGATTTGGAAAAGGCCCACAACAAGGAGGTCTAAAGAGTGGTCAAGGCCAGCAAATGTCAGCTAGGTCCTCTCTGTGTTTGACACTTGCAGACCTCTCCCCTGATGACACATCTGAGGTATGGTGAAATCTGTACAAGACACTGTATGAACACTGGGCTGAAGTGTATCTCTGAAGAAACCACTCAAAAAAACCCAGAAACCGAGTAAAGTTCCGCTCAACCTTCATTAGAAAGCTATGTGGTACACAACGGACCTTTATTGGTCTCTTTGTGATCATTTAAGACAGTCCCATGGTCTGCTTAAAAGGTCCCTACCATGCTCCTCCATCCCAATTTGTCTATATGGCCATCATCCTTAATAATCTGCATCTGGATACTAGACCAAGCTCTTGATTTGTTGCCTGCCACTGTGTAGGTATGGCAGAGAGGAAGCATGCTGTCTTCACAAAAGAGGAAGTTAGCCTTAAAACCTCCTACCAGTGTATCCACCAAGCTGCAGAGAAGTCCAGAAAACTGGAACTTATTGCCCCAGCGCTTAGCCAGAATTCAGACACCAAATTGTGAAGACACTAAGAACACACCAGTGGGGCAGGATAGAAAATGTGGGAGAAAATACCAAAGGTGATATCTTGAAAAGTCCAAGGAGGTTTTATACAAAACAACTGCACTTCACCCCTTCTAAAGCCCTAGCAATTTTGGCATTTTAAATATTATGGTCTTCAACTAGAGATATTTAAACTCATCATTAACATTCTTGACTCAAAACAATAAATAGCGTTATAAAAAACTTCAGAAAACATTAAGAACAGCTTCAATATAGTGTATTTTTCAATCTTTCTGATCAGCTTAATTTTAAAACAGAAACTATGTCTCATAAAAATGCACAGTCAGTTACTGAAGTTATACTTTTGTTCTGCTTACCGAGTCTGAAGCATCATTGATGGCAGCAGCAGAACTATGGAAACCGGGTATATTAACTGTAGTTGGGAAACCAGCAGAGGGAGCACAAAACTTTAATTTGGGGGCAAGTGGGTTGGAAGTGACAAAAGCCAGGGCTATTTTATTATTGGCTCATGGTGAAATTGTAAATTTTCTTAAAAAATAAAAGATCTTTAGGATTTATAAAACAGGAATGTACACAATTTTAACGTATCTCAAAAACTAAAGTTTTTGACAACATACCTTTCTAGTTTGCCTGTTTAGGTAAAAGTGAAATAGATAAAACTTCTCATCTGCCTCACTCATTCATACATATGCACAGCTGCACACACTCATACCTCCTCTATCCCAAAATGGTCTGCCATGGCGTCACTTTGAAAAATACTTCACAGATCTGTACTTGATAACAATTCAGTTTTAAATAGATTATTATAGTATCTGACATTGGCAAATGGCACTTAGAAGGCTGAGCTTCCTTAATTGACAGACATTAGCAAAAATAGTCAGTTTTTTAGTCAGTCAGTTTTGGGTGGGCTGAAACTGTAAGTGTTTCTCTTAAATAATAACTTTTTATCAAAGATATTTTCATTCATTCAAACTAAGTTTGCCTTGCAAACCGATCAGAAAGCAGCAAGCTTTATCAATAGTGGTAAGAAACAGCCACTAAGACACCTATTGCAGAATAAGCCATTTTCCTGATGAGCTATTTTATTTTTAAATATCCTTATTTTTGGGAACACTAATTATTAATGTCTGCATCTCTGAAAATAAACATCTTGATTTCGCATTTATATCAAGAGACCATTATTCTGTCACAACTTCCCATTCACTTGATATTTTTTCTTAATTAAAGACAATTTAATCTCATCATATGACACTGAAAATCATTTGCTCTAGAGAGAATACTGGAGAGAAGTTTTATGGGGTTAATTTACAGTAATTACGGAAAAAGCTAATTTATTGTGTCACTGGTTAATCCTGCAGAAGCAATTTAGCAGCAGACATCCTGTAATACAATTTGGTACAGCAATATTTAATGTTTGAGAAGATAAACAGTGGAAGAGTTTCAATATCTAGTACGAGTTCACAAAATATCGTGTAACAGGAACTACTAGCTCTAAGTGAGGATAGCTTTTTGTCTTGCTGTTCTTGAAATTAAAAGGAAAAACTGTAAAATGTATAATCCTCTATGCTACTCACATTTTCAGGGATACTAGGAAGCTCTGTGATGTCAGGCACATTAAAGTAAGAATGCTGGAAAGGAAAACACAAAATTATTTTTGCATAGTTAAAAGAAATACAAAATATTGCTTGGAATCAGTAATGTGTTGAGCCCATAACTGCAAAAGGAAACTAATATATAACAACATTTTATATCAATTACCAATTAGATCATTTTGCCATTGATTTCAAAATTTAGATTTTTTTCTCAAGGTTAAAAAAACACTATATCGAATGTTGAGTTACAAAGTATCAAATATCTTTAAAAGGATAAATTACATGTAATTCTTGTACTTCAGATGTATTAATACACATAGGTCATAAATAGTGTGAGGCTATGTCAGAAGAACTCCAAAGCTTTCTGTAATTCAGACCATCTTTCCTCAGCCCACTACAAGATCCATGTCCGAGTACAGAACGTACAACAGCTAGCTCCTTTTTGGCCTAAGGTAGTACAATATTAATATGTTTCACTGTTTAGGCAACAAAAGAGATGGAGCTGTATCTAAAAAGGACTCCTACTTTCAGAGAATGAAACTGGTAATTCACCCTTTGTGTTAAACGAGGGAACTCTCATAATTACACTCCCCAATCGCTGTAGGAAATACAAAGAGTTCTGATGCAATAACAATGGTTGCTTTTGATCTCCTTAACATATCTCCTTTTATATATTATAGGATTCTCCAGTGGTACCTTAAGAGTGTTCCTGATGACTGCTTGAGAATGATTGAAGCTCTGCAAAATTATATCACCTGGCAGAATAAATGAGAGTTCCTCTAGGGAAATATATACCGTGAAATTAAAAAAGCACCACCATTTAAGAAAGCAAACAACTTTTGGGAATAGGATTTTTTTCTAACTTAAGGTATATAATTTATTAACTATTCTCCTGCTTATTGTCTCTTGAATCCCATGGCTAATAGAAACACAAAGCAGCCCTGTGCAATGCATATTTGCATTGCTATGTGGTTTGGAAAGTTCACAGTAGATGGTGTCAAAAATCTGCACCAAATAATGCTCCAACCTGCCAAGTACCCCCTTTAGATGCCCTGATCTACCACATCAGATAGACAAACTACCAAGTTTGCATATGGCAAATTTTGTCCATAGCAGATGCTGTTGCTTCAAGTCCAGCTGGTCATGGTTAAGACATGCATAATGAGCAGATAAACATCCATTCATTGGTTATATCAAAAACTAGCCCAAAAATAAATACAGAGCTAGAGAGTTGCAGTGGTAAAAATATTACTATATGGGAGAAGAACCCATTATAAACATATAATGTCATTTCCACATTTGTAAACATACAATACAGAAAAGCCCTGACTGTAAAGATGCAGCAAGTTTCAGCAACTGTATGTGACTGATACAATAACTGATTGTACAGATTGCGAGCGATAAAATTAATTTACAGTGTTATCTAACTACAGAACTTGGCCACTGCAAAGAAACATCAATGCGACTTTTAAAATGTTTTTTTTAAAACATGTTCAATGATTAAATGATTGTGCAGCACAAAGAAACAAAGCTGAACAAATTATCTCTTCCAGGTTCAATAAATGGTTCCACTACGGGTCGGAGGATGACAACAAATGGGAATCCATTCTCTATTACCAAAATGTTTTAAATCAACCCACAGAAGTAAGAGGAGGCTGGAATAAGTACAAAAAGTAAGGAAGAGGTTTGTATGTTACATCAATTGCTAATGTTGCCATATACTGAAGGCCATGTGTGCAAAGTGAAGTACATAATAAGTCTTTGCAGGATCAAGGCCCATATATTTTTCATTCATGGCTTTCAAATACCAAAACTCGCAATTTGATATCCTGTTTTATGGTCAGTTTACTTAATCCATGACATGTTAAAGAAGATAATGCTGTTTGAGTAATTTAACTGGAAAGCTATTTTGCGTACACCTTTTTATTTTTAGCTATTTGAAAAACTGTCTAGTTTTTATGTTGGTTTCCTAGTTTCATGATGCTTCACACCACTGCAATTTGTGAATTGCTTAACGGAGAAATTTACTTGCTTTACATTCCAGGAAACTATTTTTGTTTTATTATTTGCTACTTTGATAATGCAAGACATTTCTGATGTTCTTATTTTGGGAAGTGAGGGTAGTTAGACACACTTTGTATTTTTGTTTGTAAGTTAATATTTTGTATATTTTATATTATTTTGAATTTTATAATGTGTTATAACACTGGCACTTTATTTTGTGTTAAAGTTTTTTGGGGGCTGTTGTGCTCTTGTAATGTTTCCACAAGTCACACAATTCTATTGTATATAGTGATTTATCATACATTCCATACTTCATGAACAATTTTTCGGCTGAAATATCTAGTAGCTGAAACAGCTACTTTGACTACAGATAAAACTGGTATGCAATGCAGACTTTAGCTTCCCAATGTGTCACTATTTTAATTTGAATTGAAAAGGAACAGAGGAAATGGACTATGGAGACTACACAATTAATAGGAAAAAACTCCACAAGCTCTTACAGATCCATCAACTTGTAAACAGCTAAACTAAAATGCTTAAATAGCCCAAAACAAAAGTCGTCCCTAAGCTGTCCTTTGATATTCTTTCCTGCTCCAGTGCTCATGAAATGTTTGAGGCAAGGGGAGACCAACAGCATTCCTTGAAACCACTGGTATGAAACAACTGAAATATCCCAACAGATCATCCTGTCTCTGAGACAGCTTGTCCTCTAGGTCAGGCAGACATGCTGTTCATACAATAGCTTTCCCTGATAGGACTAGGTCATCTCCACTGCCAGCTGGTGACCTAGCTAGGCCAAACAACTGCTACCTGTCGACTGACATTACAGGGTGGAGTGATGAGAGTAAGCTGTTTGTAGCCAGCAGTTAGTTTTAAAAGGAGGGGGAAAGGGAAATGAAAGAGGGAGACAGATAAGCAGAGCTGTAGCTGTACATCAGCAGTTCTAAATGTGAATTCTAAAAGCCAAAGCAGCACACAAAGCAACATGTTGTTGAGTATTTTTCACTGGCTCTTTCGGTTTTAGCAATTGCTGCCCAGAACACAAGGTTGATCCGCAAACATCAACTAGAAGAAAACAAAGAGAAATCTTTCCCTTAAAGCCCCACCAACCCAAGCGTAAGTTCTTCCACTAAGACTGTAGCAGAATATAACAACCTCAATGCAAGTGTGAGGAGGAGTAACTATTGTTCAGGTGGGAAGGAAGGAAAAACCACCAAAATCACATGCACCAAAGTGTTAGTGCTCAGAGTGTTGCTCTGCCAGGCAGGGAACTCGGAGTTTGCTTCCCAGTCTTGTTCCTAATGCAGGCCAGCAGGGGCTGGGAGTGCTGCAGAGATAGGATCATGAACCCCAATAAGAGGAGTGTTGTGTTGCTCAGCAGTGACCCCTCAAGCTGATAAGGAGCAATGCTCACAAGTGTCCATACAGAATCCCACCTAGTCCTCTACAGATCAAAGGATGGGGACTCTTTTCAGGATTAACACTAGGGAAACGGAGAGGCTCTTCAGGGCTTTAACAGGAAAGGGGGCATGCACAGCTCCCTGTCCCTGAGGGAAAACAATATAATCTGCTACAAGACTCAAAAAGAAGAAAGCGCTGTTTTGATGTTTTTCTCTTACAATGTTACATAATGAAAATGTGTCTCCTTAGTTGCTGCTATTTTCCCTCACTTACCACACTGAGATGAACAGGTGTTCCTGGGTCAGGGATGGGAAGTTTATGAAGTGTTTCTAGGAGTTCATTCCTCTGACTGTCCTGAAATAAAAAGGTACTGCTTAATAAAGGAACACTAAACAATAAATTGTCATCTCATGCCAGTCACTGAGATGTAAGTATATGGGTGCTCTGAGGCTAGATCACTTGCAAATGTGAGGAACAGATGCCAAAAGGATTTATACGGCAGACTCAAAGGAAATGACACTATTTTCTATGCAAATATCCTGGCGATATAAAATGCTGCTTTTAGAAACAAAATACATCTTCCCTCATGTAGGTTTCTACGTTTTGAAATCTTTCAAGAAATCAGTGAGGGAACCATCCTATGCATTACTACAATTTCATCCCAGGGAGGGCCAGCTTCCATAGCAACTCTTTCATAACAGAAACTATTCGCTTTCCGCTGAAGACATCATTATAAAAAGGCAAGCGCTCCCTCTTCTTCTAATCTGTACAAGTGTGATAAAATGCAAAATACGACTATTACTGGAGAAATGGTAAGGGAATCAAGGCAGTAACATATGACAACCAGTCAGTTTATAACAGTACTGCAGTAGCCTATCGTATCTGAAACATACATGATACATACAATGTCTAAAGTTTTCTACAATATGCACAATCTCCATGCACCACCAACTTTCGTTTATAGTCCTAGAACTGACCCTTAATATTTTCAGTTCATATTTTGAATGAAATATCAAAGAGCATACTTGAATTCCACAACACCACCCCACTTTTAAGTGCAAAGGTCTATGTCTTCTACATTGGTAAGACAGATGGGATGAGCAACAGGAAAAAGGCCTTTTGCCTCAGCAGACCTCGTTTCAAATCTGTATCGGGGCACCACATAAATAGGTTTAGAGAAGACATCTGTCCAACACTCCCGGAAGCACAGTCTGTCTGTCTTCCAGGAGGCCCAATACCAGAACTGCAGGGATGCTATGGCCATTATTAAGGTACATTAACAGAATTCTGGAGGAACTTTCATGGTACTTGCCTAACTAAACTGTACCTGGCTCTCTCCAATGACTCTTTCTTGGATACCAAAATTAACCTAAAATGTGTTGCATTTCTCAAAGCCCTTTTCATGAGAGTAGCTAAGTAGATCATAAAGCCCATTCTATAGGACTGTATGGTACAGATTGACAATTCAACTGGCTATTCTCTTATGAGCATACTGCCTATATGGTTAGTTTTCACCCTATCTAGGACATTTAATGTTTGCAAAATGAGAGAGCTCAGAAAAGTACCTGTCCTTTTGCTGTATAATCTGCCAAGATGTTGAGCAGTTTATAAAAGACTTCAAACCATGGGAGATAACTAAAAAACAAAAAGGAAAAAGCACAACTGTAAGTTACTTGAAAATATCATCATGTAATTCTAGATTCGCAAGTTTTGCTATACACAGTAGATGCATCGTTAACAAAAGCCACACCATCTGAGCTGAAACTTTGATAAATGGCTGGCAGGAAGGTATGCTAGTACTCTCTCCTGCAGTGGGTGTGGCCAGGAGGGTGGGCCATTGCAGTGCAGCATGTATCGGCCACTGGTCCCCTTCCTTTGATTGCAGAGCTTCTAATAATCACTCCTGGAGCTTCTGGCCACAGCATGGCACCACCATGAAAAGCAGCAATGGGTGAAAGTAGGTCTAAGAATCAGAGAAATCAATGCTGGAAATTCATAACAAAGGCCACCATTTCCAAACTCATTTCACTGCACATGCAACAAATGGATGATCATACAGAAGTCATAACTGTCTATGCAGTCATTGGTAACATTCTGGAATTGTTTATAAGTGCACATATTGTTGGACACTTTTTTAATTATACAAAATTTTCCCATACTGCATGCTTAATTACTGACCCTAAATGCAGCTGTTGGGGCCATAAAAAGGGTAGGAAAAGGTGGCTGTTCTGTAATTGGATCCTGCCCCCCTCTTTTTTATTACAATAACATTATTTGCATATTCTTTAAAAAATTATTTCTTTTTACAATGAATCACCAGAATGATGGGTATACTCTCTTACCCAGCATCTATAAAATTCCACTTATTCAAGCTGTAGTTAGACCAAGAATACTTCTTACCCTGAATGCAAATTTGCCTCATTTATAGCATATCAGTTCTTTACAATAATCAGTAACGAAGAGTCAACTTTCAAAGGCGCGAACATGCTGAAAATTATGTATCTGCTTTTTCACACTGTATGGCTATTTAGTACTGCTATGCCTTCTAGGGACATTTCCACTGCACATAAACAAGGACAGACAGCTAAGACACTATTCTGTGCTGTAGGAAGCTTTGCTTGGATTTTGTACCATTCTTGCATGGCAAGGATCTTTGATTATTTTTTAAATCTCTGCAAGGAATTTTCCCTAAGCTATAGTGAACAGAGAAGCTAGGAGTACGAAGCATAAAGTGATTTCTCTGTTAATCACAGATGCCTTGTGAAGCAAATAAAGTATATTTTTGATATAGTTGGACAAAATTTACAGCCTTTACACAATATGACTACATCCTGCCAACTGTAAAGAAATCAGGGCCCCTATGGTTACTAACTGTACAGCTTGTAGTAATAAATGAAGTGAGAAGCAATATACGTGACAGATAAAGTGAACAGCACTCCATCATTAACATTTGTTTTGAAGCCAGCAAATGCTACTGTAAAATTTAAGTAGCTTATCAAAATATACTGATAAGCAACTTAGCTTTTCACATTATATGACAGTACTATCGCTTATGTTAATATGTTTCAAATGACTCTGGGAACCACATATTGACTATTGCACAGACAGAGAATTACCACTTTAAACAACGTTTAGTTTGGCATCACAATGTAAACATTCAAGAGGGATTAGACAGATAAGTTTCTCTCTTCCCATTTAGTTAAATAAACCTCAGCCGAGTTAAAAGCTATTATAATAGTAACAAGAAATCCTTTCAGAATAAGACTCCTGCACAGAGATTAACAAGAACCTGGTAAACAAACCCATACAAGCATCAAAATATATTTTTCAAAAGAAGGGTTTAAGGCTGCTTTTTTTTTTTTTAAAGCTAACAATATGAAAAAGAAAACCTACTTCAAGGAAGACATGCTGAATTAGACTTAATCAGGCAGGACTTCTTAGCTGAAAATGTCATTTACAAAATCAAAATTATAACATTTTAGAAGTTTTATTTTTGTTTTAAACTAGATTTCTGTCAATAGCTTATAAGTAGTAAACGAGAGAGATTCCAATTTCTAATTTTGACTGGGTTGCATCCTCACAGAATGCTTGATGAATATAATCTAACCAATCTCCTCAGAATGAGACATTTAATGGTTTAATAACTGCTACAAGGTAGCCCTTTAGAAATCATCTGGTATTCAAGTTTGAGTCCTTTTGGTACAGAGTTTGGGGCTGGCTGTGGCAGCATAGTTTCAATGCACCTTTTTGCACTGACTGATGCTTATCTAGTGATGGCAGTGTTGAGGTTTTGAAACCAAACTCTGGGTTGTATGCTTCTTCAAAGAGCCACTGTTTTCCCCTGTTGGGAGGCCAGAGTTCACAGCTGAACCTTATCTTGCTACAGAGCCAACAGAGTTTCCTGTATTGCTTCATTAAGCCACACATGCCAACTCTATAGGTTTTATTCAGTTGCCTGCAAGGACATTGGATCCAAATTCCATTTTAACTCTGTCAGTCAGCAGCTAGTCAATAGTTTCTGTATACAAAAAAGTGCAGATAAATGTTTATATTTACACATTGCTAAAATGTCTGAACTGACGGTCATTCTGCACACAGTTCGGGGTGAGGGGAGGCGTACTGCCATTTCTATTACACTTGCTCACTCCCTATTTTTCCTTACTGCTCATTCATCTCTCTTTTTGGACATGGTTATAATCCTGGCCTGTCACTTTTTACTCCTATTTTGTCCGGTCTCTCTCAAGTAATATTCACAGCTCAGTGTAACCGATCTAGTTCAGTATTTTATGGTTTTAAACAACGTTACAGTTTGAAAATTAGCATCTCCAATTTGGGTGGTGATGAAACGCATTCATGTTTCATACTACAAAGCTGGCAACATCACAAGAATGTCGGGCACCCATGGCTATTAGGGAGATATATAAGAATCTTGCAGGGCGGGGGTGAGGGGTGAGTGGAAGAATGATACAAAAATATCCAGAAATTAGAAACGTTGCTGTTTCAAACAGGAAATTATTAGCAAACAGAATTACAGACAACATAGAATGACTTTGCCAAACCAACACATCTATAAAAGGTCTAGATGTTTAGACTACCGTTTTCTATAAGGTACAGTATTAAGCATACAAGAGAATGCCTTTGGGGATCTGTGCTCTGTTTGCTAAGCTGTCACGGACTAACTCCTTGCTTTCTTACCAAGCTTTATGTAGCCAGTGGAGAATCCCCATGAGACTCTGCATTGCCCCTTTCATCTGGGTATAAATGCAGCAGGCTTCTAGCCTACAGCAGTTGTCTTAAGACACGGTCTTACTTCAGTGTACGAGGCAGACCTGCAGGGCAGGAAAGGATATTTCTACAGGCTTTTTCCACTCCCTGTATTTTGCTTTTAGAAAGGCAAAATTGGCCTGACTGGTGTTCAGATAACTGGGATGGGTGGGGGAATTGGGGGAGCACACACACTACTCCTTAAAAGGGTAAGGATTTGGGTAGGAATCAGAGTAACTTTATTACTGTCAGGTAGAGTCAAGTAGTAAGAGCAATGGTATAAGAAAAGAAACAAAATATGCACACAGCCAAGAGCATCTTCCTTAAACACAACCATATTATGGAGCTGCAGATATATTATATATAAGTAGGGCAGTGAGAGAAGATCTTGATATGTGACAGCAGCATATTTCTCTCACATGCTCGACTGCCCACTAGTCTCATATATTAACTGCAATTAAAATCATTACATAATTCAGCATTAGCTTTAGAAGTTAACGTCCCATTAATACAAAAACGTACATTTCCAGCTTCTCAGTTTTGGAAAGAAGGTTATTTTTCTCTGTAACTGTTTAATAACTGTGACTTGGAGAAGATTAGATATCTTCTTTGATTTCAGATTATTTGTGTGACTGAGGGAGATTTCTCACCAAGAAAGGAACGATCCCCTTCTCTGTTATCACTGGTACAATGTATGAGGCAGTACTGGTAACATAATGCCCTTGGAGTAATGGCACCTCCACAGAAAATCTACTGTAATTCCATTGTATTTTCTGTGTTACACACTCATCCTCTGAGGGTCTTTCAGCACTTTATTGGAAATGCTACCTACAAACTCCCTTTTACAGACCCGAGAATTCTCTGCCATTCATAACATTTAACTACATATTTAAATTGCTGTGGCTGCATAATGCAGTGTGTTGGTAATGCTTAATTTTGTCAGCACAGTACACCGGACCCTCGCTAGAATGCGGGATTTGGGATCCATGTGTGGTACCACGTTAACGCGGGGACCGCGTTAAAATGAATTCCAATTAAAGTAATTAAATTTGGGATCCATGGCCGCGACTGCATTATATGCGAATTCGCACTACATAGATGCGCGTTCTAGCGAGTGTCCGGTGTAATTGCCAATTTTTCACACATAATATTTGAAAAAATTGCAAATGTAGTGTATCTTAGGTTCTCCTAGGTCTCTCTCTCTCAGATGCTTGGCTGGCTGGTTCTTACTGTCACGCTCAGGGGTGATCACTATGATCACCATATGTGGGGTCAGGAAGGAATTTTTCTCCAGGTCAGATTGGAAGTGATCTTTGGGGGTTTTCGCCTCACTCTGTAGCATGTGGGTGAGGGTCACTTGCCAGCTTTATCTGGGTATCTCACACAATCATTTCCCTTGTGGGGACCTTGGGCACTGGTGCATCTCAGACCCTCCTATTCTCTGCCTGTGGTACATAATAGTCTAATCTCCTGTGGACTGTAAAGCTTTTATCTAATTTTGGTTGTTGGGTTTAGGATGCGGGTGCTGGGTGGCACTGGTGGCCTGTGATACACAAAAGGTCATACTAGATAATCTGGTGGTCCCTTCTGGCCTTAAACTCTATAAACTGAGCACTTCACAGCTTTAATGTGTTTACCCTTGTGGTAATCCTGTGAGATAGGGAAGTGTTATTATCCTACATTACAGATGATGAACTGGCACACAGAGAGGTTAAGAGACATGCACAAGGTCACGAAGGAAGTCTGGCCGAGCACAGAACTGAACCCAAGCCTCCAAATTCCCATGTTGTGCCCTAATTACTGGATCATCCTCCTTCTTCCTGAATAGTTTAAAGGAAGACATAGGACACCTTTGGGATTTTCTTTCAATT